TCTTCCAGCTGTTATGACACAAACAGCTGTAAAGCGCCGTTTACTTACAAAGAAGCCCTCGAAAAAATGATTTCCGTCTGAAATATTTTGATTTTTCTAAACTGGTTAGGTGTTACCGTGTGTGTGAGAAAATCATACGATCGACTTACTTCCGGCTTGGTATATTAACGATTCTCCAGCTACCCGAAAAAGGGTTTTTACTCACTTGACCAGCATCCTTTGCTAATTTATTGGAATATCTACAAAAGAAAGTTTTTACATAAGAAAAAAGTTTGATTCCCACAGGGTTGGTTTTCTTGGCCGCCGTTTCGGGTTTTGGAACACCAAAATGGCCGCCGTGTTGTCATGGTCAGTAATTCACAGCACGGACTGTTAGCACGGAAACAATCTTTGCGCATTATTATTTTCTTGCTCTCCGTACAAAATTCAGCCCTAGGAATAATTATAAGTTTTAAAATAATGGAATTTCATTGTGTTTGCATCATCAGTTGCGGACATTTCATTCTTCATTCACGCCCCACCCTCTAAGGATTAAGGATTTTTGAATTCGTCTTCAAAGAAGCCAACAAAATTTGGACCGTTCAGGCTTAAAGGTACAGATAAAAAAATTAATTCTTCAACCTTCATTTTCAAAGGACACAAACAAAAATTTGAGAATTCAGATTCCAGCTATGTTTACTGGTGGGGAAGGGAGGGGGCGGGGGGTGCAGAAAAATAACAAACACACCCTTTGAAAATAAAGAGGGCTTCAAAGCTGCAGCTCTTCTGTTAAACATCTCAGAGTACAGAGAAAATGGTAAGAGTTCCAGTTTATTTTTCCCAGACAACAGAATAAAGGTTTTAATTACACCATGAAATGACTGCTCAGGCAGGCATCTGGAGGCAACAGTTTGGTAGCTTGAGAGCGGCTGTCTGTAAATATCGAGAATTCGCCGTCAAAACTGAAATTTCGAAATACTTCATTTTCAGTCAGAAAGAACCCTTTGGTGAAATATTTTCGAAAATCACAATCAAAGTTTCCAAAGAATTTTCATTTTCGAGAAAACCGCCAAAAAGTGAAATGCTGCCCCACGCCATATAGTCGCCCGTCCAAAACCTTTTGAATTATACCATTTTCAAAGCCCTCGGGAAGAAAGGCGGTTGAAGAAAACAAGTTCATCTTTGGCAGGTAAGTAAGGCATCCCAGTTACAATACTATTTGGTTTAAAATATTCCAAGATAATGCATTGTTTACTCGGTTAAAAATCGCCCGAAGATTCTTATCTTCAGCGCTTTCATAAAAAATGAAATTTTGGGAAACTTTAAAGGAAAAAATCACCGCTTGGTACATGAAATTTTAGAAGAATCATTATACCTCAGTAAAGCCCTACTGATGTTGTACAACAAAAGCAAACCGCCGAGAGAGGTAAACGCGCAGTTCATTTTCGATGTTTTTGCATAAAATGCACGTTGAAATCGTCACGCAACCTGGGGTAACACAAACTCCAAAAAATTGTCTTGAATTCACATTTTTTGTGGTGATAAAATCGAAAGATTGATTGAGTCTTTTATTGCTCTGGTATGACTTGACTAGTTAGAAAGTTACATAGTGGGCGATCGCAATGAACCAGCTCTGAAAGGTCAAACGGCCGTTTCCGTAAATGTCAACAATGCTACGGAAAGTACCGAGTCTTTTATCAAAATATATAATTTCATGGAGTTTGTGTGAGCCCCGGTTGCGTGACGGTTTCAACATTTTATGCAAAAAAATCGAAAGTGAACTTCGCGTTTACCCCTCTCAACTTGTTGCTTTTTAATTGCCCAAACTGGATTTTTTTATATGTTGTACTACAACAGTAGGGCTTTACTGAAGTATAATGATTCTTCTAAAATTCCATGTACCAAGCGGTGATTTTTTCCTTAAAAGTTTCGCAAAATTTCAATGTTTATGAAAGTGCTGAAGATGGGAATCTTCGGGCGATTTTTAACCGAGTTAAAAAAAACATTATCTTGCAATATTTTTACCAAATAGCATTGCAACTAGAATGCCTTACTTACCTCCCAAAGATGAACTTGTTTCCTTGGACCGCCTTTCTTCTCGAGGGCTTGGAAAATGGTATAATTCAGGGGCAGCATTTCACTTTTTGGCGGTTTTCTAGAAAGTGAAAATTCTTTGGAAACTTTGATTGTGATTTTCGAAAATGTTTCACCAAAGGGTTCTTTCTGACTGAAAATGAAGTATTTCGAAATTTCAGTTTTGACGGCGAATTCTCGATTCTTACAGACAGCCGCTCTTAAATTGTTATTTAAGATCACCTATGCCTATTTATATACGTAAGAAAATCGCCAAAATCTTCAAACTTTACCAAAATTGTAGAAATGACGTTCAGTTTAATTCTAGCCTCAGAAAAAAAGGAAAAAAATGTCATTTTTTTTTTCCTTTTTGGTTTTACTAACAAACAAATACAAAAAAAAAAAGAAAAACGAAAACCTACTTCCGTTTTTCGTTTTATTTGCAGTCCAAACTAATTCTTGTTTTTCATTTTAGGTAACGATTTATGAGGTGGTGGGGGGGCGGGGAGTGGCTTGAGCCAAATCACAGAGGGTGGTTAGGGGACACCATCCTTTGTAGCCTGCGAAGGGAAGCTCTTCTCCGGGGCGCTCCGGCACCCCGGATGACGGGTCGTGGGCATTTGCAACTTCAGCGGGAACTTTTGACAAGTAAGAGACGCTCTTAGCCGGGTTGAGCTCTTTATGTCGCTGTCGCTGATTGGCTGCAAGAATTTGAGCGCGATTCTTGCGCGATACTCAGTTTACATCTAATCTTGGAGGACTATAAAGTTTAAGCAGGAAAAGGAAAATAAGAGTGTGACTTGGCTTTGTCGGTTTTTGAATGTAAAATATTGAGTGGACGAGCCGTGCACGGACCGTTTACTCCCCGTGAGAAACAATCACGACCCAGAGCTCTTCTGCGCATGTAGAGGAGAGAGATCAAGAGCTCTGGGGAACCCTGGAGCAAGACTGTCTTTGATTGCTTTCAGCAAAAAACAATAAAAGTGTTTCTGATTGGTCCATTCAAGTTTGGCTGAGAGCGGTTGAACGTGCGGCGTGTCAGGCGTGTGAGTGGATTTTTCCCTACAAATGTTAAAGTAAACACGACCGGCCGCTTCTTGATTTCAGCGATTCCAAAACAACATTTGCACGACTAATAAGGCAGAATTACTGGATTTTCCAATTTTGATATAAAATGGCTTTGCTACATATCGAAAATTGAACCAGAAAAAGATTTGAACATGAAAAAATAACATAAAAATACACGACATCTTTGCCAGCTATAATTTAAGAAGCTTGACACATTATTGATTTTTCTTTGACGTCCAAGTTATCGTAGTCACGCGAAGTAGCCGAGTATGAATGAAAACTTGAGCTTCATGTCGTAAAATGCCCAAAAATAGACTTGCAAGAAATTAAAAAAAGAGCAGAAAAAGGTCAAAAAGTAAATCTTTCCCCAAAGTGATGCGTGTACAATGCGACTAGATATTTATAGTTCTTTTCCCACGATATCGCATTTCAAAGCAACTTCGCTGAAGTGTTCCGCTCATGAACAAACATAAATAAAAGGACGCTAAATTCATATTCTGGAAAGTTTTATTGGAATTTTCATACGTTTATTTTGACAAGTCATTCGGGTTTCACTTACCGCTTCGTGAAGTAGTCCACAGAAATATTTAATCAACTGTCAAGCATATGCAAACTTCAAGTCTCAAGTCTGTGATTGGAAACGTTTAACGGTATTTTCTCAGCAGCTACCACAAGAGCCTCGGATACCTGAAAATTCTTCAAGGCCGTTAACTGAATTTCTTCAGTTCTATTACCGAAGCAAGACTTTCGCGATGAAGTAGATATAAAAGAAGCGGAAAGTGGAGTTTTGGTCGGAGCAAAGAGCATGCGCTGTGAAGCGCAAATAGCCAGATTTTGGCTACTCCGGCGCAGAGTTTCCCAGAGCTTACGCACGCATTCCCAAAACCTGTAAGCACTGGGGTCGAGAATGCGTGAGAATACTCTGCAGCAAACCGCTTGTGATTTCCGCTGAGCATGCGCCAGACCGTTAATTCATTTCTATAGATCGTTTTCACTGTCACGCAACCAAATAATAAATTGTAACCGTCCAGCAGAATAAGCCAACAAAATAAAATGTTATAAAAGACTAATTTTTAAACAATTTGTCCAAGTCCCAGGTCTTTGTGGCCCACAGTTTCTGAGTTATTTGCCGAAACGGTTCACGCACCTTTGTAGAGCTTTGTATGGAGACGCCATATTGGCGCACCGTTTTGGTGCACCAATATGGCCGCCGGAAATCAACAAAAACATCAGGAGTTCACTTTTTCCATGAAAGCTCTTTCTTTTCACTCGAGAACTAGCATACCTGCTTGTTACGAAAAATTGTATTGCGTGACTAGCGTGACTTTCTAGAAGCTTCGCGAGAGTTCATAGTTGTTTATTTTAGGATCTTGTGTAAGCGTTTCTAAAGCGGTATATTTTGTAATCTTTCTATAATTAGACTATTTAGAAAGTTCTAGAATGTTATTGTGAAAGTATATAAGTAGGCGAGTCCGAGTTAAGTTTTAACTAGTTTTCACAAGCGAAGAGAGTTTGGCGTTAGTCGTGTTTAGTCAAGTATGACGAAAGCAGCGTTTATTCAACTTGGCGGAGGCCGTGTAAGTTTATCGAGTTACGTGCTGTTGTTCAGTTTTTCTTCGTGGAAACTACCTTCATTTTTGGAATAAATCTTCTTGTTGCTGTTCCGACAACCCTGCGTTCAGTTTGGTTTGCAAGCTACCCGTCCTCTAAAAGATCACCCGTGTAACTTTGAGGGCCTGTCCTGAGAGAGGAATTCAGTTGTTTGCCGACTACAGTAACCAGGAAAGGACAGTTCAAGAAAAGGAGTGTACAGCGAATGTAAGAAGACCTGTTACAAGGTAGTATATCTAGTGTGTTTGCTGTGAACTACTGCTGTGGAAATGGAAAAGCTTTTACAGGTTGGGAAAGAATTCGGATTGGAGGGAGAAAGGCTGCTCGAGCTTATAGAAAAACAACAAAAGTTAGAAGAAGAAAGAAAGTGGGAAGAAAAAGAAGAAAAACGTCGAAAACTTGAGGAAGAAAGAAGGAGGGAGGAGGAAGAGAAAGAAGAAAAGCGTAGACAGTTGGAAGAGGAAAAAGATGAAAAGCGTAGACTGTTAGAAGAACAAAAAGAGGAGAAACGTCGAATGCTTGAGGAAGATAGAAGAAAAGAAGACGAAGAAAGAGAAACTAGGCGGCAAGAACGCGAACTGAGAAAATTAGAGCTGGAAGCAGACCTGTTGAAACAGAGAGAAGCTATTGAAGCCGCTAAGAGAGAGCATGAACTAGAGCTCGCTCGTCTAGCACAAGGCCGTAACGTCACCGAACTCGATGAACTGAGAGAGAATAGGGCCAAGTCACCCAAGCTTCCCTCATTTGTGGATGGCAAGGACGACTTGGATGCTCACCTACAACGATTTGAGAGATTCGCAACTACAGCTAAATGGGAGAAGACAGGATAGGCTTCGAAACTTCGTGCTCTTTTGTCTGGACGTGCTCTAGAGGTTTATTCGCGATTATCTGAGGAAGCAGCCCAAGATTATGACCGAATGAAGCTAGCTTTGATGAAGATATATGACCTTACATGTACAGAGGACGGCTATCGCCGTAAATTAGAGCATCAAAGCCGGAAGTTGACGAGAGTCCTGAACAGTTTATAGTGAGACTAGATAGATACTTGTTGCGTTGCTTAGAACTGTCGAACACTGAACGTTCTTTTGAAGGCCTGAAAGATTTAATTGTGAAAGAACAGTTGACTCTTGTCCAAAAGATGTCAGCTTGTTCAGATGGCAAAGATTGCCGATCAATACTTAGAAGCACACGGAAAGCATCTGTTCAGCTCTGCGAGCCAGAAGCCACAAGTACAGCCCAAGGTGGAGGAAACAAAGACTGCACAGAGTAACGCAACAGCCCTCCAGTGTTACAATTGTAATGCCCGCGGACACAAAGCTATTAACTGCCCAACTCTAGCTAAAAGGTGTTTCGTATGGGGTAAGCAAGGTCATGAAGGGAGGAACTGTCGATTAGGTGGACGAAAGTCAGGAGGCCAATGTAAGGATGGTAACCCTGCGCAACGTGGTCAAGTTAGTGCTGGCTGTTTGGTTAAGTCACCCGATCTTAAAGCTACCCCCGAGGAAGTCAAGTCGTGTATTCAAGATGATCAGCTTCTGTTAACCTGTGGTAAGAAAGTCCCGTTGCTGAGTAATGCCTGTGTTGAACCCTTAACTGGAGTAAGAAGTAAGATGCCTGTTGTAAAGGGTAGAGTTGGAGAGAAGACTGTTGACGTTTTAAGAGATACTGGTTGCAGTGGAGTTGTAGTCAAGAAGGACCTTGTCGGCGAGGATCAGTTCACCGGAGACTTCAACGTTATGTTGCTTCTGGACAACACTGCAAGGAAGGTGCCCATAGCAAGACTTTATTTTGATACGCCTTATCTTAAGGGTCATGTAGAAGCGCAGTGCCTTTCAGATGCTATCTACGACCTAATTATTGGCAACGTACCTGATGGCAGGACGCACAAATCCAGACCCCAGTTGGCAAGAGGCCTGTGCAGTAGCTACAAGAAGTCAAGTTAAGAAAAAGGATGAACGCACAGCCTTGAAGGTGCCAAGTAGCCGTGAGAGCCCTATTGTGGATAGAGAGAAGCTCAAGTAGATGCAGCGTGAAGATGAGAGTCTGCGCAAACGGGGGTATTCGGCGTGGACATTCAGTTTACCCAAAAGGAACTAAGTGATTATTTGAACGACGTGTTTTGGATTGAGCTCTTAAAGGCATTTAATGCTGTTAGTACTTATTTTTACTATCTGAGAAGATGCACTTAGAAGACACAAAAGGCATTTCTAAGCCAAGCCAGAAAATGTCCCTTTTTATACCCTACAAAATAACATTCTCTAAGGCCCGTCCCAGATGTACTTAGAGCGTGCTCTGTAGGTTCAGCGTCAACGTGTGAACACGGAGACATGAAAAAATTTAAGGAGATTGTCTTACACTTTGGCGATCAAACAGCCAAATTAAACGGTGAGCATAATTCCCCGTGACTTCTGCTTTGCTAACATTATTCTGTTGACTGCTCCCAACATATCTCTCCTGATATTGCCGGAAATTACTCTGCGTGACCTGTTCTATACTTTGCGTTACTCCACAGTTCTCACAGTTCTCACCTGTAAAAAGTATATTTTCCTGCCTTTGAAAAAGTGATAAGCAAATTATGTGCTTTCAAATATTGTATCTCATCTAGTCTGAGAGAAAAAAGTGCTTGTACTGGAAAGTCTCAAGCACAATACCCTACTTTTAACAGTTCTCGCCCCTAACTAAATAATACACAAAATTTCAAACATTGTTTTTATACTATAAAAGGGTGAGAACTGTCGTAAATCACTCAACGCTTCCGTTTTATGCAGGCAAATAGCAATAATTCATCGCGAACAAACATTTTATCACTGTGTCGATACAGTTTGATGATAAATCAGATTTCTAAGGACATATACATTCACTTAAATAGCCGAGAACTGAAGGCGAGACATGTTAACAGGCGCTACTCAGTGTAACGTAACCTCGAGATTCCGTTACACTGTCGTACTTGGCATCAATGCTCAAGATACTATAAAATATCTACCATTTGACATCTCTGGAACTGTTGCCGAAAGTGTTACTGACGCTACATTACTGTTTACAATGACAAGGAAGAAATTTTGCAAACATATCACAGAAAAGTGCTCTATATGGTGATACGGTTAAATGTCGTGATTATTTCCAGCACTCTTAGAGCAAAAGAATAGCTGTTCTGGTCTGAAAAAATATATCATACCGTCGTCAAAAGATCTATTCCAGCATTAAGGTATTCATTGTGCAACAGCTCACAAGGCAACGTCTAATTTTCTAAACAAAGTGGTTTTCAGACAGTGGAGGTCAAAAGTGTTGGGACCTTTCCAGTGATATTACTAAAACTTGCGACCCCTCCCCTCCCACCCCAAACAAAGTTGAATTTGGAGCAAGATGGGTGAAAATGAGTCCTTTTTCTGGCCACAACATTGCATTGCGACGAGATGAACCCAAAGCCGAACAAAAAATTGTCCTTAGGAGTAGATTCCTACGGAACTATTGCTGGGAAGGGCTTTTTCAGACAGTCCCAAGTTCTTTTGTCCTCCATTGTAGTAAAGGGTCAGGCGGAGATCTCATTTGAAGAAAAATGTGGAGTACTGTACCGTCTGTACAAGCATCCTTATGTCAACGGTGGTAAACCGCTTAAACAAGTCATGGTACCTGAAAAGTTGAGACGCCCCATAATGGAAGTAGCTCACGGATCAATCATGGGTGGTCACATGGGCATAAAGAAAACAACAGACAAGATCCAGAGTGCGTTTTATTGGCCTGGAATTCAAGGTGACTTGACTCGATTTTGCAAGTCCTGTGATGTTTGTCAGAAGACTGTAAGTAAAGGATCAGTGCCGAAGGTACCGTTAGAGAAGATGCCGCTGATTGACAAGCCCTTTAAGAGAGTAGCAATAGATCTTGTTGGGCCTATCAGTCCTCCGAGTGAAGAAGGGCACAGGTACATATTGACGCTGGTAGATTTTTCGGCCCGCTACCCTGAGGCTGTACCACTAACGAAAATTGATACGGAGGCTGTAGCAGAGGCATTGGTGGATATCTTTAGCCGTATAGGAACACCCGAAGAGATTCTGAGTGATCGGGGCACACAGTTTGTTTCTGATTGCATGAGAGAAGTTACTCGACTACTAAGCATTAAACAGCTTACAACAACGCCCTATCACCCGATGTGTAACGGTTTGACGGAGAAGTTCATCGGAACGATGAAGTCTATGCTGAAGAGACTGTGTAGTGAGCAGCCAAGACAATGGCATCGCTACATAAACCCGCTGTTGTTTGCTTATCGTGAAGTACCCCAAGAGTCCACTGGTTTTTCGCCGTTCGAGCTGTTAAATGGAAGAGCTGTTAGAGGACCAATGACTATACTCAAACAGCTGTGGACGAAAGAAGTTGCGGAACCTGAAGTAAAAAAGCAGTTACCAGTACGTTTTGGAGTTGCGAGAGAAGTTAGAAGATACCCTTAAGCTCGCCCATAGTGAATTGGAGAAAGCCCAGCAGAAAGGAAAGCACTATTACGACCGCAAGTCTAAAGTTAGGAAGTTTCAACCAGGTGAGAAAGTGCTTGTGCTGCTACCTACCGACCATAACAAGTTACTTATGCAGTGGAAAGGTCCCTTTGAAGTCAGTTCAGTAGTAGGTCTCAATGACTACAAAGTGAAAGTAAAAGGCAAGGAGAAAGTTTACCACGCTAACCTACTTAAAAAGTATTTTGAGCGAGAGGAGACTACAGTCGAAGGAGCAGTACAGTAGCTTTTGGAGCAGGCGCTACGAGTATAGACGATGCTGTCGACTGTGCAGCTTCAGTTGATGAAGCAGAGGAAGAGGAGGTTGATTTCTTAGAGCTTGGTGGATGTGTAGCCAAGGAGTCATTTGAGGATGTTGCAACTGGACCAAATCTTACGGACAAGCAACGGACTGAATTTACGGGTCTGGCTAAACAGTTCACGAATTTGTTTACTGAAGCACCAGGTACCACAGATCTCGTTCAGCATCATATTAAACTCACCTCAGATGAGCCAGTTAGATCAAGACCTTACCCAGTACCTAACAGCATGAGAGAATCACTGACAAAAGATATTGCCGACGTGATCAAAATGGGAGTTATTAGAGAGTCCAGTTCTCCGTATGCGTCACCTGTTGTAGTAGTGAAGAAAAAAGACAACACAAACCGTGTGTGCGTTGATTATCGGAAATTAAATAAACTAACTGTATTTGGTCCTGAGCCTATGCCAAGTGCTGAACAGTTGTTCCAGAAGCTTAGTGGAGACAAATTCTTTTCAAAAATTGACCTTAGCAAGGGATATTGGCAAATAACTAAACCAGAGGAGGACTTACAAAAAACTGCGTGTGTAACACCTGACGGGTCGTACGAGTTCTTGAAGATGCCGTTTGGAATGATTAACTCGGCGGCAACACTGAAGCGTGCAACGAAGAAATTGATAGCAGATCTAGATGATGTCGACTTCTACTGGGATGATATATTGGTTCACACCCGTACGTGGAAAGAACATGTTAGAGCCCTCAGAGAGCTGTTTTCGCGCCTTGTACAAGCTGGGTTGACTATTAGACCTACGAAGTGCCTATTCGGAGTAAGCAGTGTGGATTTCCTAGGCCATCGACTGGAGCAAGGAATGATTGGTCTAAACCAGGATAATGTGCAGAAAATTAAAGATGCCCCAAGGCCAAGCACAAAGAAACAGGTGCGGTCATTTATGGGTCTAGCAGGGTACTATAGAGATTTCATACCCAACTTCGCAGCGATCGCAGCGCCCTTAGCTGATCTCACACGGAAAGGCCAACCCAATAAAGTTGAGTGGAGTGAAGCACAAGAGAAGGCCTACCAAACAATCAAGTCTTACCTAAGAAGTGAACCTATTCTACGTCTCCCCGATCCAGCTAAAACCTATTTCTTACCGACCGACGCTTCTAACAATGCAATTGGTGCAGTATTGATGAAAAGGCACGATGAGAAATTATTCCCGGTTTGTTATGCAAGAAAGAAATTGTCAAGTGCGGAGCGTAACTATTCTACAATCGAGAAAGAATGCCTAGCGATTGTATGGGGAATCAAGAGATTTCATCTATATTTGTACGGTGTATCTTTTGTGCTGCAGACAGACCACGAGCCGCTGAAGTACATGGACAGCGCCAAATATACCAACGCACGACTAATGCGATGGGCGATGTTTCTACAAAGTTACAATTTCAAGGTGGAAGCCATTAAAGGATCAGAGAATGTTGGAGCGGGTTATCTTAGCCGAGTAGAAGGGTAACCTGAGAGACACTGAACTACCATTGTTGTATATTAGCTAGCAATTTTTCTGTTGTATTGGACATTTAGGAAATTTCTTCTGAAAGGGGGTTATGTTACGAAAAACTATATTGCGTGACTAGCGTGACTTTCTAGAAGCTTCGCGAGAGTTCATAGTTTGTTTATTTTAGGATCTTGTGTAAGCGTTTCTAAAGCGGTATATTTTGTAATCTTTCTATAATTAGACTATTTAGAAAGTTCTAGAATGTTATTGTGAAAGTATATAAGTAGGCGAGTCCGAGTTAAGTTTTAACTAGTTTTCACAAGCGAAGAGAGTTGGCGTTAGTCGTGTTTAGTCAAGTGTGACGAAAGCAGCGTTTATTCAACTTGGTGGAGGCCGTGTAAGTTTATCAA